GGGTTATACTTAAAACAAAATATGTGCTTTGAAATTCAGATGGGTTATACTAAACCAAATAATATGTGCATTGAAATTCAGATGGGTTATACTAAGCCAAATAATATGTACTTTGAAATTCAGATGGGTTATACTAAGCCAAATAATATGTACTTTGAAATTCAGATGGGTTATACTAAGCCAAATACTTTGAAATTCAGATGGGTTATACTAAGCCAGATAATATGTATATTGAAATTCGGACAGGTTATGGTAAATACAAAACACCGTACATTGAAATTCAGACAGGTTATAAAATAGATACAAATCACTTAGTGGGAAATATTTAATTATTTTTAATATTTTAAATGCCCGGCATGGCCAGGTGGTTAAGACACTCGACTCGCAATCTGAGGGTCGTGGGTTCGAATCCACGTCACACTAAACATGCTCGCCCTTTCAGCCGTGGGGGCATTATAATGTGACGGTCAATCCCACTATACGTTGGTAAAAGAGTAGCCCAAGAGTTGGCGGTGGGTGGTGATGACTAGCTGCCTTCCCTCTAGTCTTACACTGCTAAATTAGGGACGGCTACCGCAGATAGTCCTCGTGTAGCTTTGCGTGAAATTCAAAAACAAACAAACAAATATTTTAAACAGCTTGACACCTAAATAATTCCCATGAATCTCAAAACACCATACATAAAACACATAATATATACTTTGAAATTTAAACAAGGTATAGTAAAGACAAAACCCTTAATAGGTACGTTAAAACTCAGCCAGGATACATTAAAGGCAAAACATTACGTTGAAATTTAAACAGAAAAAATCATAATGTACATTGAAAGTATAAAAGGTACTACAGTAAAGACAAAGCCCTTAAAACTATTTACCTTGAAATGATTTTTTTTTATTACTGCAAATGAAATTTTAAAAATACCAAGCTAAAACTGTTATAAAATAGATGTTTGTTGGGCATTAAAAAAAGTCAAATTCGTTATTGTTTTGTGTTTGTATTCGTGTGATAATTGTTTAGCTGTAGTGAGACATAAAGCATTCGGACTTCGAATATAGCTTCGTTTATATGTTACTCCAGCTTGAATACATTGTAAAGGTAGTATGTTCTAAAAAATTCATCCTAACAAAAGATGGCACAAGCAGTTTGTGATGTAAATGATGTACTATGATATAATTAGAAGTATGTGTTTGTTTTAGAGCAAAGCCACGTTGGGCTAGCTGCTATGCCCATCATGGAGAGTCGAACCCCGGATCTTAGCTTTGTAAGTCTGTAATTCTTACTGCTGATCCACTAGGGGACAGAAGAGTGTGTGTGTTATATATATTATATTACATATGCATGACGTAACCAAATGATTTACTTAACACTGATTGCTGCTTGTAAGCAATCAAGATTGCAAACTTTGTTGCATGGAATGGCTTATTTCAAACTTATATAAGAAAATTATGTCTGTTCCACATCTGATAGGCCATGCATTCATCATGGATTATGCCTACCATATCTTTGGCCTGTATATGATTTATTGGCACAGTCTCCACTTCTGCATAAACTTACTCACTGCTTTTCCTACACCTTATTATAGGCTATGCTTTCATGGGTTATGTTTAGCCTAGTTTTATCCTGAATTTGGTTCAGCTGCAAGGTCTTGAGAAGACTCCTGCACAGAACTTTCTTGTTGTGTCTTTTCTGCACCCTTTGAAAAGCTTTCCACAGAATAACCCTCATTTTTTGTACATTTTTGCTAAGTGTCTCTTGAAGTAGTAAAATACACAGAAATTCCAACATGTGTATACCTCCCATTCTCACACTATACACTATGTAGATATAACTACATGCTTAAGCTACAGTCATCACAAACATCTAACTTATCTGCTATGTGATCTTGAACATCCTTCTCCTCATTGTGCTCACGTGAAGGATTTGGAAAATAATTTTGTGAAGATTGCAAGGATTATACCCATACATATTATGAAATACTGTAGAGCAGCACGAGAAACTTATTATCAGAGAAAGATTTAATTTTTTAACCACCTCTGAAAGGGTACAGTAAGAATATACCCTGAAGACTGTAGTTTATCTTGCATACCCAAAATATATCCTGGAACTATTGGAGAATAACAAACGGAGAAAATATGATCAAGAACTAATGATATGTAGGCGTTAGAGGAAGGGTTGAGACACACTGACAGCCCAAGGCACGCTCATGGAACTTATTATGACCCTGGGGCATTGGGTCACTTTTAATTTTTATATCTTCACGTGTTTCTGTATCCCTTCTGCTTTGCCCTTCAACACATCATCAGTTTCCATCTTCAACTACAGATGGGTATTTTTTTCACTTTTTTATCACTTAGTAATTCTTGGGCATATATAAATATGTTACTAATAAGTGCAAGTTGTCATATAGACTCTTTATTATGACAGTGGAAATACTAATAGGCACTGTTACATCATTCATGGCAGTTCCATAAGAATGTAAATTTTACCTAGTAACTGTTGTTTGGATGAATGTTCTCAAAAGCCACATAATTAAGAAGATGCTGATGACAGAATTAGTTAAAAGATAACGGGAAAATATGGTCCCACAAGATCTTAGACATCTTTGCTATGAATCTCCACCTAATGATTTAATAGAAAGTTTAAAAAATAGATGCTCTTGATGCATATTATTCTCTTTGCAATTTGTTCTGGGAAAGAAAAAAAAATTTTTAAGCATCAAAAAAGTTGTTGTAGTCATATTTATTGCAACAAATATTAAGCTAAGCTCCCCTTTCCTTTCCCTAATACCATCCACAGTCCCCAATTTTGGAACCACTATTCTAGATAATTGGCGATGAAAAATTTAGATTCTGACACTGTACTAACAATCAGTAAGTTTAATCCTGGCAAACCCAAACTTTAACATTGCCATCTGCCAGTATTGTTTATTTTACCAGTTATTACAACTGTTCCCAGTTAAAGTTGAATGTATTGAGCAAGTATCGAATTAATTGTTTGTTTTAACTTGGCACTTTTGTTGTTTGTCGATTATTAATTAGGTGTTTATTTTAACTTGGCTCTTTTGTTTGTCGAGTACTGATTAGGTGTTTATTTTAACTTGGCACCCTTGTTGTTTGTTGAATATTAATTAGGTGTTTGTTTTAACCTGGTACTTTTGTTGTTTGTCAAGTATTAATTATGTGTTTATTTTAACTTGGCACTCTTGTTGTTTGTCAAGTATTAATTATGTGTTTGTTTTAACTTGGCACTTTTGTTGTTTGTCCATTATTAATTAGGTGTTTGTTTTAACTTGGCACTCTTGTTGTTTGTAAAGTATTAATTAGGTGTTTATTTTAACTTGGCACTCTTGTTGTTTGTCAAGTATTAATTATGTGTTTGTTTTAACTTGGCACTTTTGTTGTTTGTCCATTATTAATTAGGTATTTATTTTAACTTGGCACTCTTATTGTTTGTCGAGTATTTGAACTTAAAAAGTGAAGCTTAAGACTCTACTGCACTTATAACAACGTTGGACTTTCAGTAATAGGTCAAGAAGTAGGGATTAGGAATGGGATTTCATAGTTGAAGGGAAGATGCAAACTACAGTTAGAAATGTATAAAATAACATAATTCTTTATATCTTCAGAAATATCCAACAAACTTTATAAATAAAGAATTTTATGAAAATAAAGTACCATTTGAAATATAAACTACAGTTTCTAAAAACAGCCTTTCAAGGAATTTTGAACTTTATTCCTAGAACATAAATGTGAAGTCGCTACTGGAGGCTAAACATGAAAATCTCCAATTTGAATCTTTTCTGCGATGAGAAGTATCTGACACAAAGGTGAACTCCCAGTTTCAAGCAAAATGATTTGTAACAATATTACTCAGTAGTAGCATGAGCAGAACAGAGCTACACAAGTGATGTAATTCATTGTATTCTTGATGACCTATGTCCAAAATGATAAACACTGTCAGTAATTCCATATAGAAATGTATTAATATTCCACAATGATCAGCAGAAAAAAATTATGTAATAAGTAAAGGCCGAGGTATTATAAGAACAATCTTGTCTTACCATGCTGCAAGCTGATAGGACAACAGGAAACATCTTTCGTTGTCGGTACTTTCTGATCGAATCAAGCTAGCTATATAGACTGACTTTATATTTTCACTTAGCTCCAAAAACACAAGATCTGTATAAACAGAATTCTTGATCCTGGGATGAGTCTTGTGACCAAATCATCAATTGGACAAGACCTTATAAGTAATTATCAATAACTTCTGAGTCAAGCAAGCTACTGAAATAGATTAAACTTGAATTTAAGCTTAGAAATTCTGCTACAGCTTCATGCAGTTCATAAACTGTTGTTGTATTAAACAAAGTTAAGTTTATAATATTTTACTTAAAGTTAGGTTTAAAACACTTAAACAGCAGCAAGTGGTTTCTTATAATAGAGTATTTTAGTTCAGTGAAAATGAGAGAGAGTGAATATTTTCTTGTTTATGAAACTAAACACTAATTATATAATAAACTGACAATACAATGCAGTCAGTCATTATTAGGTTGCATTGTTTTTTAAATAAAACTAAAATTTGGGCAAGCATACCGTTGAAATTGTTAAACTAAAAGAAATGAGTATAAATGGACAAGTATTCTAAAATATACCAGACTGTTACATAAGTTTTTAAAAATCATTGTTCCAATGTTGTTTTCAGTGAATAAGCACTTATGTGAATTTATATACAGGTATAAAGATATTGAGTAGGTGTTGTTTTTTGTCTTGTAATTTGCAGAATGTTTTTTTTTTTGTATTTTATGAGTGATTGATTGTTTGTTTTAAGTAATACCACATTTATCTCGAGGCTATCTTATTTACCTGATACTCGGTCAGATGTAGGTCTATGATAGAGGACTAATATTGGATATATCACATTTTTGTTTAGCCTGTTCTTGCCCGAGTTTATCTCTAATCATCACTTTATGAAGTTTAATTTGTTTTATTTCTGTTATACAGAGAGTCCAAACTTGTAAATGACTTTAATGATGAACGAGATATGCTTAAAAAGATGGTGTACTCAACTCAGTCTCTTCTGGAGGAGCGAGAAAATGATATATAAAGAAAGATCAAGAGGTAATAAAGTGAAACATGTAAGATTGAAATACAGTATAACTAAATTTGGTTGTGTGCATATATATATATATATATATATATGACTGTTTCAGTCCTGTAGTCCAGACATCAAACTTTATCAAAGCCAACAAACAGATGAGTTATTGTTTAATTTCACACACTATTTCTTTTTAAATGCTAGTAGGTATAGTAGCATCTATTACTGTGGTAAAACTGAATTAACCTATGAGCAATGGGATGGGTCTGCTTAATAACAGGAGATTCAGTCAAGATACCAATTATGAAGTAATGATAAATCTATGAATATCTAAGTCATGGTGTTGAATGGAATAATCAGATTGGACAAAAAGTTAAATATAAAATTTACAATCTTTAGTGCAACAAACATGGTGTTGAAGAACGCCTGACATGCCTGGTGGTTAGGGCACTCGACTCACAATCTGCAGATCACAAGTTTGAATTCCCATCACACCGAAGATGCTCTCCATTTCCTTTGTTGGGACATTATAATGTAACTGTCAATCCCATTATTTGTTGGTAAAATAGTAGTCCAAGAGCTAGTAGTGGGTGGTATTAACTAACTGCCCTCCCTCTATCACTGTTAAATTAGGGACAGCTAATGCAGATAGCTCTCACATAGATTTGCACAAAATTTCAAACAAAAACATAAAAAACTAAACTGTTTCTTTTACTGGATTTTCTCTTTAATCTGCTTCATGATCCTGTTCCAGATTGCTTAAGTCTTGTCTTTTAATTTGTCTATTTCTTTAGTAGTTACCTGGTCTTGTTTCTGTTACCATTCATCAACTTCCCCCCAGTGGCACAGCGGTATGTCTGCGGACTTACAATGCCAGAATCCAGGTTTCGATACCCGTGGTGGGCAGAGCACAGATAGCCCATTGTGTAGCTTTGTGCTTAACTTCAAACAAACCATTCATAAACAGTACCCAATAACCAGAGAAACATTATCTGTCGGTCATGTTGAATTGAGGGAAGTTAATTGCTGTATGTTTAGGACTCCATTTAGGAAATTAAAAATTAGCATAATGGACTACAGATCATGTTCTTGTATGCCTAAACAAACACTTGAGTGGCTTTTTATTTGCTGTTTAGATTTAAAGTTGATACACAATCACCACATGTTTATAGAAATTAACTTATTTTTGCCACTCACTTTGTCATATAATATGAGGGACCCCCTACTATGCATCTGTGTATATTTTGTTACCTATGCATTCTAGGGTTAATGTTAATTTCTGATCAAAGCAGGCTGCCTAAAGAAATCAAAACTAAAAAATCAGGCCAGTAATAAATACAGCTAAGTTAATATACTGTTATTAATTACTTACGATGATTAAAATGCAGTTTCATCAGTCAATATCCTGATATTTTCAGCTGTAATCTCAGTAATGTCTGATGAGATTCAGCCAACTCTGGAGGCTTACGCTAGTCTTAAAGCCATATACTAAGCTAACAATGCGATCTAGCTAATACTGTTAACGAAAGTAACAATGAAACCACGGGTGTAAGGCTGAGCAAGGTAGTGTTCATTTGAGGCTTTATGGGATATATTTTGATATGATCCCTTCCAGTGTTATGCATTTTAGGGGGTTAAAGTCCTTCACGTAGGTAAAGTAAAGTACTGAGGTCGTTGATCTTTTTAATTGTTTATTCACTTCAGTAATCTTTTGCCCGTGGCTTTAAAGAAAGAATAGGGTATAACTGTTACTTGCTCAGCTTTTTTAGTTTCTGTCCTCTCTCAAGAGCAGTGTACGTATATAGAGGGGACCATTTTAAAACTTCACCACACTTGTTATGTAGTCGCACGGCCAACTATGTATCAATGCTGCTACTTTTAAAGAAGAAATTAGCAATTGAATAATTAATACAAAATGTAAATTCTAGAGATATGAGTGATTATTTTTTATTTGGTATTCTACTTAATCTGAATATCTATATATGAAATTTGTTCGTATATATCCTCTACGTCTGTATATTTCCATTAAAAAACTCTCCAAGAACTCCTGTAAGAAGCGAAAATACCAAAGTTAACAACAAAATTAGAACATGTGGGAAACTTGCAGTGCATGTATCTTCTGGTGATGCTGCTAGTATTATAAGTAGGCATTGCGTCTAGGTTCTGTATTTATTACGAGAAGGGGTAGTTAAAATATCCAATTTTATGTGTTGTTAGGGTTAGCCTTATCTATGTTCAATGAACAAGTGATACGAAATTCTTTCCAGACAACACAGTTTTATAAACGTGTCTCATAGTGCATAGAATACCAGGGACTAAATGGTGTTTCCCTCCCCCCAGCTGGTAGTTTTGCGTGAACAAGATTCTCAGCTGCAGAACAGCAAGATTCTGTTACAGAATGTAGAACGAGAAAAGAAACAGTTAGAGAAAAAAGTTATGGAGATCCAAATGACATTGGCCAATTCACAGTCTAATGATAAGGTGGAAGGTAAGGAATATAAGATATATTAAATTAAAAACATATATATGACAGTTGGTACTTCTTGCCACGGCCATACTACCAGAATGCCCAGTAGTTCCGTTAGGAATGATAGATAATCTTATCCATCCAATCCTAGTTAGTAGAGGATTCTTAGTTCTGTTAGGAATGATAGATAATCTTATCCATCCAATCCTAGTTAGTAGAGGATTCTT